CAACGCAGAGGGCTGAAAAAGCTTTTAAGCGAAATGAATAAACAATTGAACGTATTTTAAATAGAAAATACCGAAAAAAGCTCACTTATTTGGAATATAAGAACGTAATAGAAAATACTGAAAAAAACTCACTTATTTGTAATATTTGTTCAATTTGGAAATATGAGCCTTTTCTGTCATGAAGAGAAACTATAAAATGCAGTCCTCGATCCAGACACAATAGCCGTGATGCATATGTCTAAAAATTACGTTGAGTTTAACATCAGAAAATATTGAAATCTTGCGTGAAATAAAATGTTTCATTTACCTCATAATCCTTTACCTAATAAGCTCATTTAACAACATAAACACACATCAGCTAGCTGTTTGCATCACGACACATTGCTGACTTTAATCGATCCCTTGAAACCTTTCCTCGTTCGCCACTTCTTCTAGCTCTCTTCCCTCGCTTACACTATCATGTATTATATTCTTCTCCTCAAGCAAATTCCGGCTCAAATTGATAAAGAACAGCCATACTTCCATAGCGAAATTTGGCTGATTCAGCTCTAGCTATCCAACATGTTCCACTATCTGACGTCATCACACCTCATTCATCCCAAGCCATCAAATCCGTGATATTCCACAGGGATCCCAGCTTAAGTCATTTCGCAACTTTGACGGACGATATCACCCCAAAAAACGCATTTCATGGAATTTTTATTTGGATTTTCAAAATCAACAAGGTTTGATGTACATTTTAAGCTATGATGTGTCTGGTACCTCAGAGTCCCTTTAAAAGTTATTGTTATTTCATGTTTTATTTCCGGTATTTAGAATAGAATAAACTAGACGCTGTAGGCAGCGTTGACTGGGATACCTGGAAGGGGAGTGGAGGACCTGGTTTCAACATGCATGGAGTATTTAATTGGTTGAGCTTCCAAAAATACTGATAAAGTAGTTCAACTGGAACTCAATCTGGAACTGCAATTCTAGTTCCGGTCCGGMTTTTGGCATAGGTAATTAGGTTGTTGTCCGAGCATAAACGTGCACATTTGCACGGGCATTGTATAGCTCGCTTTAAAATCAAAATGCTTCATTTAAAACGTAAATACGGGCTAATATTTGCTCCAGACCTCTCTCATAATTGCTATACATTTTATAATTTTATAATTTATCGATATTTCTTAGTGAATCACCATTTTTTTGAAGAAAAAATTAAAGGAGATCATAACGCTTCGAACGTCAAAGATCAAATCCTGGAATGTGCTTAGCAAATAATTCATTTTGCTTCTTAAATCAAACAGAATCTTAAAATAAATATCATATTGCTATGTACCTCATGTTTCTTTGTGGGTAGACTTTGAAGCCAAAACAGTTAATATAAATACATAAATGTAGGCTATAAGAATACCTATATTGTCATGCTGAATGAATTTGCAGTATCGCTTATCGTATAAATTCTGACTATTGAAACCCTGTTCTCCTTATCGATCTTCGCTCGTTCGTGCAGAAAATACTGCTCGAGCAGATGAATCATGAAGAGTAAACCAAAACAAGCTATTGCAGATGAAGTTCATTGAAAATTCTTAGAAATAGTCGCTTCGAAACCATTGGTATTTTCTTGCCTTGAAATCCTTGTTTACGAAATTGATAAATTAATATTTCTAGTTAGGCTGTCTTGAATTACAGCAGTCAACAAAATAGAGCATGCGTAGACATAAACCTGTGCCACGTGATCTGCTAGCTCCGCCCTCTCAAAATCACTTGACAACAGTGACATTGATTGACATCTGGTACATGATAATTGATTGGACTATTGATGTGAACCTCATAGCAGATGCCCGCAAAGGTCTCTTGGGTAAGTTCCTGAAGATCCCTGGGTACTATTGCGCAACTTTTCCATTTTGTCGTGAAGACAGAAAAAAAAAACAAAGGCATTTTATGACTGTGATACCACAGGTATCCCAGTAAAAAGTGCTATGTAGGTTCTCCCGTGTCAATTTTTAGGTATTAGGATACAAAGAATGAGGTTTTCTCCAAAAAATTTATTTTGCTTTTTCGCAGGTTTGAAATGTTATCTTTCCTGTGAAACGTTTGCCAGATTTTGACTGTAATGCCCTAAATTTTGAGAAAAACTGAGTTCGTGACTAAATATAGACCGGAAATCTTCCATCGCTAAATATTCCCGCCGACCGAAAGAACCGGCTTCGAGAAAGAGCGATCCTCTTCGATTATATTATGACAGCACGAATCGTCCACAGAAATTCTAATTCCTAGTGAGCAATCGGCCAATTCCGCCTCTTCAAACGCCACAAAGTCGACATAACAGAAGAACTAATTTGACAAGTGATGGCAAGATTTTTGTGGCTGCTGCCTCGTAGAGGCGAAGCCACTATGTCATCGAGTTGTGTAAGTAAGTCCGTAACAATATATAAACTTCGGAACCAATCACGGCTTAAATAAAAAAATCTCCCTCTTACTGAAGAGTAAGCGATGCGACATCGAAGAAATGACGACAAATGGAACCACAAGTAAGCCGTGTTCTCATAAAATTCAACCATATTATTCATAACAGCTTTCATTTGGTATTTCTATACGGTAAAGTGAAAGGTTTTGCAGGTGTTAGTCAAATTTAGGGCGATGTTTGGCCAATGGCTGACCTCAGATAAAAAAATGCAGATAAAAAAATATGGCAGCCTCTTCGGAGGATAATTGAGCCTCTTCGGACGATAATTGAGCTTCTTCGGAGGATAATTGAGCCTCTTCGGAGGATAATTCAGCCCCATAGTGGGATTGATAGTATCTCCTTAATATCTATACCAAATTATAGCACTTTGCACTGTTGTATTTTATACCTTGTCGTTTTTAGTGCCTACTACAAAGTAGTAGACACTATTGTCATGGGGTCAGTGTGAAATTAACTCTGTCACTATCGAGTAAATAAACAAAGCATATTTTCATATCTTGCCTGTTAGTCGTCAAAACAGAATCACATATGAAGTAGAAGAGACCTCAAGGGAAAATTTATCTAAATCTGGGAGAACATTGTGGCTTTTTCATCGAGAAAACGAGGAAAACGTTCCTCAAAATATGATCGCCATTTTGTTTCAGTCATGCAACAGTTGCACAAAATGAATCGGCATAACACAGGAAGCCCAAATTAATCAATATCGACATTTAATAAAAACCTATACCGAAACCTTTACTTTCAACATTTATATTTTTTTCAGCAACACCGCTATTTCAATTACCTATATATCCTTCATATTTAACAATTAGACTACGAGGTCGAGATTTCTATGAGTCAATAGATAGTCGATGAGGCGAGTAGCGCCGAATCGACTATTTGCCTCATAGAAAACGAGAACGAGTAGTCTAATAGACCCTTTCGAATTCCAAATTACCGCTGTGTTTCGTGATTACAGACTCATTTGCACAGGGTTAACCTCGAGGTTGTGCAGAATATTCTCGGGTTCCAGCCAAGGTCCGTCGAGTTTCAAAACTGTTTGTATTGTTTAAGTTGTGCATTCTTTACTTTTCTGTTGGTATTTGTGAATATTTAAAAACTGATACGAGGCTAACCCTGTGCAAATGAGTCTGTAATCAAGGAACACAGCGGTAATTTGGAATTTGAAACTGGTTTATTGTTTTAGTGTAAACCTGCTAGCTAATATCATAGTATTGAAAACAAAAAATGACACTGAAAACTTTACTGTACAAAGCGACGGTCAACCGGCAGCACTGTTTTTATTCATATTTGCGAACTCGACTAGAAGTATTGACGTGAAGCTTAAACCTGCTCTATTTTTATAGCTTTTTGTCTCTATCATTACTGTCAAAACTCTCTTTCTCTCCGTTTTTTATCTTATCTTGGAATCATTTTTCTAATTAATGAGTGATAAACTGAAATAATTTATTTACAAATACTTTGTTGTCAGATCATTCAAAGCCGTGCCATGTTTACAATTTGCTTTGCCTTTTCTTTATTGTTTCGTCTGTTCTTAGCGTTTCTTTTTACCGTTCTTCTTGAATACATGACTGTGAATAAGTTGTTTTTTGGATTTTTTTCTGTTCTTTGAGGGAATTCTTTTAAAATGCCATCATTATCTCAGTAGTCAGTTGTTTGTCCGTCGTAAAGTTTGCACATGAAAATCTCAGTGAAATCTGACGGCCGCTTTTTCTGGTTAAAACTGCCATAATTCTTCAGTTTTTACTTATCTGTACCTCAGTTCCTTTCCTTGATACAGTCTTGTCTTTTCTACAATCGATTTTTAAAGATGTTTTAGAGAACAAGCAGAGATTTCGACGAAACTTGACCATGCACCTGTTTATTTTTCGCTACTCGCTATCTATCACTGGATAGATAGTGAGTACGTTAGCCAATCAGATTGCAGGATTCGTGATCGTATGCTAACAGGTTTATGCTAAATCAGCTACATTGTACCAACTTCCATTCCTTTCCTGTATAACAATAAATTCTTATGCCAGTAGCCACATGCGCTTATTGAGCGCCTATTTTTCTCAAATGTTTTTTGCCGCTAAAACCACAACTTTATAAAGCTAAAACTCGGATTTCATTGGATTTTTCTAAAACTTGGAAAGTTTGTAAATAAACTCATGATTCAAAAAAGGCCGTTTCCGATTTTCGAAATTTAATTTCTTTCCAAAGTTATGACCTTTTTTACTCTGAAGCAATCGCCGAACTTCGAGGAAAAATAGCGATATAAAAGAGATCATATCAAAAATCGGATACCTTTTTGAGCTTATTACCTCCTACTATAGCTTTAAATTTAAGTGTCCGTCAATTTTTTTTTACCAAGGCATGGTTTAATTTCGCTTCGAGGACAATAACGTCAACTGCAATAAAAAATTCTGTTTCAAAATTTTTCATAGATTACGTTTATTCAGCTTTCAGAAAATGTAAACTTTGTTTGTGTTATACTGTAAAGCGAGCGTGTAATTTAAGTTCGCGCGCAAAGTGGTCGTAAACGTATCTTAATACCTTAAACTTGGCTTACCTGAGATCAAGATGGTGGGCTCCTCCTTTTATTAATATGGCCACTAATGATGATGAGACAGATTCGAGTACCTATGAAAAAAAAGTGATTTTGTCTTTTCAAGCTCATTAACAATTCATAAGCTTCAACAAAGAATCAGAAAATTGTATTTGGCCAGGTGAATGAGTCTTGACACTGGATCATACACTATGGTCTGTTTAGTCCCTCTTTTCCCTCCTAACTCAGTCAAGTGGGGGTTTCTCCCTGTTTTGGCCACGCGGGGATAGGGTATGAGTTTGAAGCGCCACGCAGGGAGTTGCAAAAATAGAGACTGTGGACAACAGACAGAGATATTGATAACTCTCCCTTCCACTCCACTAGTCAAAAACTGTCAGTCGGTATTGGCCAGTCTAGAAATGTTTATAGTCCACACAACTCATACTTTAAAACAAAATTCTTTGCCTGATAACGAAAAATGTTTTAATGAAGTTGAATTTTAGCAAATTATTTATTCTGTTTCTTTMATCAAATAGAATCTTAAGATAAATATTGCTATTTACCTTTGTACCTTTGTACAAGTCCTGTTAAATGAATTTGTTTATATCGCTTATCGTAAATCTGGTCTTGAAAAACAGTTCTTCTTACCGATCTTCGCTTGTTCGTGCAGAGAATACTGATCAATATAGTTAACCAAAACAATCTATTGTTCATGATGTTTGAAAATTCTTAGAAATAATCGCTTAGAAATAATCGGTTACTAAAACAGGGAATGGGGATGGACCGGGAATGGGGAATGGATGACTCGGACGAGCTATCAGCTGTATTACCCTTAAAAAGTGTCATAGCGCTTGCGCTTGCAATCTAGATTTTTTATAATAAAAAAATTGCCAAATTTTACGTTACGGACCGAGCAAACGAGGTAAATAAGATATATGGCAAGGCAATGAGATTAAAAAGAGGAGAAGCAACAAATTTCCAATTTTACGAAACACACAATGTCCCAAGAAGTCCACTTACAGAGGCCAGMAGCCAGAAGAAAGATATTAAACTCCATCATAAAATTGCCGTTAAAATACGAAGGAAGGAAGGGTTGGACCAATCGACAGAGGTGACCTGGGTTCAAATTTACCCCTTCGTTGCCCTGCGAAGTTAGGAAGCCGGGGAACGCGATTTAAAGTGCTACTTGGACGAAAATCGCTTCAAAATCAAAACTCTTTCATTCGAGCTGGAACTTTGCTGAGATAATCTTGAATACATTAAGAACCACTCATTGAAATATCTTTCTAATATTCGAAAGGAAAGGACCAAAATTTTACAATTTATTTTCGTCCGCCATTAATTTCTTGTTACAAGAATTCGGCTCAAGCAGACTGGCACGAGTAACGTATGACCACATACATTCAACCCAAACCAAAACATTAGTGGCTAAATAAATGTATGTACCATGTTCGTAAAACTCGGTTTATTTGGTTTATTCMGAAAATATATAATGTGTTATTCGATTCCTTAACTACTCTATGACCAAACAATGTCTAGGCGTTGAAATTTTTTTTCAGTTTCGATAATATTGACGATCATAATTGGGAAATTGCAATACATCTCGGCACGCCGAGAATCACAATAAAGCTCAGGACGCATGGGAGAGATTCTAGCGGCTCCATCGCGCGAAGTGACAGAGAGAGATTCGGGATCTATTCGAATCAGTCTAAGGATAACACTAAGGATAACAACTTTTCAAGGTATATTTACATACAATCGCAAAGAGCAACCTCACAATTTGGGTCCGCGAGACATCCGACACAAAAGTAAAATCTACGAGCTGAGTGACAGACGCCGCTGTCGGGCGAGTAATAAATAAGAAACCTTTGACATGTTTTTTTACAAAGATGATATTAGATAATCGTATGTTTTTACCTATTTTAATAAACATAATAAACATAATAAACATTTTGGAGCAAATAATAAACGTTCTGTAGCAAATTAGGAGAATTACGAGCTCACATTCTAGATTATTCGGCACATAGATCTAAGTAATTATCACAAATATTTATATCACAACGCAGAATTCAAAAGGCAATGGCAGATTTTTTCATAACATCAATAGCTGTTAGATTATATTGAAACTTCAAATTTAAGATCTTTATATCATGGACAGTATGTAGCAAATACAAATAATGGAATGAAAGTAAGGAATTCTTATGAAAACCTCTTCGCCAGCATTGCTTCTTCTTCTAGTTCGGCTTCATCTTCTCTCTTATACACGATAACTTCTTCGTTGGTAGCAACTGGTTCTAACTCTTCAGGATTAACAGAGAGAGCGTCCAAAGGACTTTCCACCATTTGAAAAGGTATCAAAGCTTTAAAAAAAGTTTACTGAGCTCATTCTTTTCACGATAACGCGTTAAAACATCAAATAAACTTTAGGTAATCGAACAAGAAATGTATGGTTAAAGCGACGCTAACTTAAATGGGTTGCATGTATGACGTCACAGAGAGAAACCGCTGTACATAATGACTATTTGGCCGTGAGACAAACAAATTAATGGCGGACGAAAATCAACCATAAAATTTCGGCACTTTTCTTTCGACTATAAGAAAGATATTTCAGTRAGTGATTATTAATGTATAAAAGATTATTTCAGCAAAGTTTTAGCTCAAATGAAAGAGTTTTCATTTTGGAGTGATTTTCTTCCAAGTGCCCCTTTAATGTCGAAAATTCTGCTCCGATTATGAGTGGGTCGACTCGATTTAGGGTCAGGAGTCTCCTTCTTTGTCTTCTCATATAGAGGGGAAAAGAATTTAAAAAAAAAAAAAAAAAAAATCGCTAAAATGGCTCGAAATTACTACTAAAGAACAAGGACTTCCGTCTATTGTCCTGCCTTTTATTGGGGAAAAAAACTCAAAATCTCTCCAGAAATGAATGAGAAGCTTTTAAAAATTACGGTAATTAAGATAATGGCTGTTAACTATGTCTTCGATAGGAGAGGTATACAGCAACAATTATGGTCCAAGCATTGAGCCCTGTGCTACACCACACTTGATTGGAATGGGTTTTGATATAAAACTAGACGCATATCTGCGTGAACTCGGGCTTTATAGCAGAAAAACGAAAGAATTCTTCGTGAACACTGTCATCCTTCCGACGAAACCTTGAAAAATTCCGCTAATGCTCGACCATGTGCTTATGTGGCGCATATTACGCACGCGCATAGAACTTGCGCATGCGCTTTGAACGCAACTGCGATTTGTGACAGAACACAAATAAAGCCCAATTTATACCTCGGGCATTTCTTTGAAAGCCCGAGTAATCATTGATCTTGACTACTTGTAAACGGTCTGTTATATAAGAAGAGGGCCAGTCAAGCGCTGTACCACAAATGCAAGCTACCATGCAGACGGTCAAGGAGTATACGATGGTCGATGGTGTCAAATGCTGCTGACAAGTCGAGGATTACCAAGACCATTTCACTTTGGTTATCCAACGCTCTCAGAATATCATTGGTGACTTTTACAAGRGCGGTCTCAGTAGAGTGGAACTTTCTATACGCAGATTGCATTTTGGGATAAAGATGTAACAGCCCAGATGTGAATGAATCTGGTTGGCCATGATCTTAGCCAAGAAAGGTAGATTTGCTATAGGTCTGTAGTTGGAAAAACAGTCCTTGTCTAGGTTTTTTTTTTGAGAAGCGGACGAAGCAAAGATGTTTTGAGTTGGTGTGAAATGGCCAGTAGTAACTGATCGGTTGACGATTGATGCTATATTAGGCATAAGGATTGGAATTGACTTGACAAGACTGGTTGGAATTGGGTCAAGTGGACATGGCTTGTTAGACGAGGCAGCCACTATTTCCTGAATGATCGTTACAGGTAAAGGTTGGAAGTTGTTGAAAATACTTTGATATTCCTTCCTTGCAGTATTTATCAAAACTGGAGGCAAAGATGACTATTCCAATTCAGCTCTTAAGTTGGTAGTCTTTTCTGTAAAGAATTCGTTGAATCGTGCAGCTAGGAGGTCAGATGAATATCTTATATTAAGGCTATTAATTACTTTACAGACAGAAAATCAATGTTAGTTGCGAAAACTAGTTGAATATGAATTTAAATACTAAAAGTAATACTTAGTTATCATTTTCCTTTTTATCGAACACTTTTAGTAAGATTACGAACCATTGCCGTGGAATATTTGGCAAATTTTTCATWAAAAAATAGATTGCAAGCTCCACGTCACTTTTTAAGGGTAATACCGCTGATCGCTCATCCCAATCTTCCATTCCCCATTCCCCATTCCCCATTCCCCATTCCCCATTCCCGGTCATTCCCCATTCTCTGTTTTAGTAACGTCCAAAATAATCACTATCTTCTTGGCTTGAAATCTTTATAATAGGCACTTTCCAGTTAACGGTCACGTGTCTGTACTGGAGAGTAATATTTTTGTTTTTATTTCAAATTGGTTGATTCTTTTTAGCTACTTTTCAAAACGTCATGAATTAATGAGCATTTAGACCTATCTGGTCCTTCAAATCCATCAAGTGCATGGATCTTAATACCTGATAATAGCTCAACATCGATGTCTTTATATAAAGACTTTGAAATCTTTATAGAGGACCAAAAGAGTACAAGAGCATGGAACGAATAAGGGCCCTAATTAATAAAAATAATGGGGTTCTTCTATAGCGCATTTCACAATGTCTCAATTCGCTTTACATTGCAGTGGAGGACTTTTCGGGCTGCATATTAAGGAGCTATTAGCAGCCGTGCAACTTACAATTATGAGTGATTAATTAGTACATTAGTGTTATGCCTCCAAATTGGGATAGGCTGTTGAACCGGGAGACAATCCCCTACTCTTACACGAATAATTCAACAGGTTCTTTTATGTCCCCCATTTACTGTTGGTTAGGAAGGGTTGGGAGACAGGGCCTACGGTATTAAGTCCTTGTCCAAGAAGACTTGATGGTCTAACCMTTTGCAGATGTAATTACAAAGGCAGCACCTTCTCCTCAGTTATTTTAAGACCCTGAGTGTTGGGCCGGCCGAGGCTTGAACCACGACCTCCCGCACAACAGACCGACGCTCTTACCAACTGAGCTTA